ATTCCGCGAGTTCAATTATAAATATCTCGTCTCTGAATTTTATCTTTGAAATAAAAATCTAACAAACATGTGTAGATCAAATTCGAACGATAATTCGATGTGTTTCGAACGAAGTATTCGGTTATTACGAAAAAACAAAGTTAATTTTAATTCAATGTAAGAGCATTGAATGTTATGTACAAAAAGTGGTCAGAACTCGATTGAAACAATACGTAATAAAGTAAGTGGCAAGAATGAACAGGTTAACAACAATTAACCCTTCTCGTTATGTTGATTCCTAAACGGAGGCTGTGCCACCAACTGTTTACTTTTGCCATCCTAAATATTATCAGTTTAAAATCACCGTTTACCGTGTCTCTTTCCTGCGTTTATTCGTACTGTCTTTCGCAATCGTGTGTAGCGATTGGTATTCCAAGTAACGGCCGCGCAACGTTATTATGATGCAATAATAAGAAAGAAGAAAAGACGGGCTGGCGAAGGGGGAGAAGAAAATACGAAAGTTCCCTGAATTTGCCGAATGAGTGAAGGTCTAGTGCACAGATGATCAAGTTGTGACTAGATCCACACTCATTAAGCACGTTTGGGCGCAGTCATCGCAGCTTCGTTCGTGATTACGAAACGAGCTTCTCCCCCCTCCCCTCTCCTCCCCCCATATTGACGCGACGCGCAAAAACGTATGTCGTTATAAAATGTTTCATTTACTAAAAAAAAAGTTGCTTATTCGCGTAGCGGAGGAAGACGATGTAAAACGGATAATTCCATAGACGGGTATGAATGTGGTGCACGTTTCGTACTATTTCGTGACTAGATACATACTCGTCTACGGTGATCTGTTTTGCTCTTGGAACAAAATTTACATCTGCAAAATATATATCAAGAAATTTTTATGTTTTATTTTTTATTCTTTTATTTAATATTACATTACTGCACTTTATTTTTTTTTTCTTTTTTTCTTTTCAAGCAAACTAAAAGAGCGAGAAGTCCAGAAGAAACAGAAAATGATAATAAATTGCGGGCTGTGGACCAAACATTTACACCATCAACCTATACAACAAAATTGTAAGGAAATTTTCTAACGGCTTGCAATTGTATATACGTATTATTTGAGACACTTAATTAAGCAAGTTACAATAATTTTTATAGAAATACACCTAACCGTGCACCGAGTACAACCGTTAGGGGCAAAGTTCTCTTGTATTTTGGTCCGGATATTAAAAGTTGGAAGAAAGAAAATGAGTACGATGTATCGATCGTTAAGACCGATAATCCCCATGTACCTAAGGATGCAGTGTACATGTATGAAATACTTTCCAAACAAGGGGCCGTTCTTAGGAGCCGTTGTGAAAGTTTTGGAGCGCGGCTGTGCCATATTTGGAACGATATGATGGGCCCCTCTAAATCGAGTATACGTTACGTGAGAAATGTACAGTCTATAAGTCAAAGAGCGTTTAGAACATGGGGTAGAATATTTACCAAGACCGACAAGTCGGCCGGCAGTAAAGTTGTCATGTTAGAAGGTTGTAAAAGACCCAAAGGTAGTAATAGTTCTCCTCTTGTACGCCTGGATCTTAGTGGAATTAAACATTACTCGGTTTTTCCGGGTCAAGTAATTGCGGTGGAAGGTATTAACACCTCTGGGGATACTTTGGTAGCAAAAGAATTATTCGTTAAGGGATATGCGCTATTATCAGATGCACCGAAATTATCGGAAGATATCAGAGTTTACGTTGCGGTTGGCCCGTTCACACCTTTCGATAATTTGAATTATCAACCTTTATGGGATCTTATGGAACGTGTTGCAGAAGACGAACCTAACGTACTGATATTAATTGGACCTTTTGTTGAATACACGCATCCTGAAATTAAAAAGGGCACCTTGAAAGATACTTTTCAGGATTTCTTTGAGAAAATTGTGGCAAAGATTCTGCAACAATTGCAAGGGTACACTCTTTAATAATTTAAGTAAATTCGGTTATTAACAAATTGTTATTAACAGTGTTTCGTAATTTAGGAAATCTACACGAGTCGTATTGGTACCTTCGAATCGTGATGCACATAACGATGCAATTTTTCCGACACCAGAATTTATCATGAACACAAACAAATTAGGATCAAACGTGGCGAATCTTTATTCTATGCCAGATCCTTGTATAATAAATGTAGAGGGTTTACAAATAGGGATAACGTCAGTTGATATTCTTAGACATCTCGGACAGCAAGAAGTATCGTAAGTGTGGTAATACATAGAGATAACACGATAATACGAATATTGTTACAATAATAAATTTTTTAGGAATACATCTGGAATGGACAGGCTTGGCCGTTTAGCTAACCATGTATTGTCTCAGGCCACTTTTTACCCTTCATATCCTCCTTTCCCCGGTTTGAATCTTGATACGACACTTTGGAAAAAATACGCTTGCTTTGAACAGCAACCACATATCATGATTTTACCTTCCGACATTAAACATTATTGTAAAGTAGTTAACGAAAGCCTTGTTTTCAATCCGGAGCGATTGCAAAAGTATATCTATGCTAAGTTGTGTATACGACCAGTGAGTAGTGGGAAATGGGATCCAAACAATGTATCTTGTGAGATTGCAAAGGTCTGATAGTCTTGTCTATACTTTTATATTCTTTTGTTTTATGTATTGTAAGATAGAATAATTGAAATGCGGGTGTACAGATATTTAAAATATGTTAATAAAAGAAAAATGAACTGTTATGTAATTGGTGGTTTCTTCTTAATTTCTCATAGCGTCGAATACTTTATGCATTTAACGGGTATCGTGTAATGCGATCATTTTTTTATGGTTAAACGTGAAAGTTTCAGTAGAATCTGCAGTTGATTATTTCTCCGTTAGAGGTTAGCACTTGTCGTATTTGAATTTGTAATTCTTGTCACTGTCGTAAACGTGCGATGGCGCCACGAGCACGACAATCGGAGTCATTGAGTTTTCTGCTTCTAGTGAGTTGTGGATTCAGCCATTGCTCTAATATTTTTCTTGTGTTTGAAAATTTTTAATTCCCGATGGAAATACAAAAGCGTCTATGAGTATTGAGGTAAGTAGTTCGATCTATTGTTACATTTGTTCGTCTTCCCTTTTGGTATGTTTTTATAGAGACGGTAAAGATAATTGAGCATCAACGATCTGCCAAATTTTATTCCGCCATCTTTGTTACAAATTCGTTTACATTTTACTATGTGTATTGTACTTTTTTGCAATTATTTCATGTTTCACGTTACATCTTTAAATTTATTTTATTTAATTGATCGTGTTTGCGACATAAGTTGCGATTCTGTATGTTTGTTCAGATTTTATTTTCCAATCTTCATATTAACTGCGCGGGTTTCACAACTGCTGTTATGGCCTTGGTTTTTTTCCTCTAAAAAAACGAGAGTTATGAAATCAAGCATGTGACGATAAATAAAAATTTGATGCCCTTCCTGTATTATACTTCTCGTTGCCTTTGAATCTATGTTTAAATATTTTACGATATGATACTGTCTCTTACTTGGATATAAAATTCAAATTGGTAATTTCATTGTCAACTGAGTATTTATGGTTGCATTTACTAGAAGAAATATTTTAAACCTAAAGCACATGATATTACTTGAATGTTAATATACGGTAACAGTAAATAAAAAGTGTAATACTGTATAAAAATATACTTATGCATTCGTAAAGTTTGATCGTTCGATGCAATTTTTCAATTATTCCGTATCATTTTATGATAATGTTAATACTCCTAGAAACGTTCATATTTATGCTTGAAGATGCATTTAATTGATAAGCAGTTAGAATGGAAGATATACAGTTTCATAATTATCACTGTTAATTATTTTATTAGTGCCGATATAAATGTTTAGTTACTTTTGTATTATTAATTGGACAGCTGTAGTTGAAAATGTATAGAATTGTTTGAAATACTTGAAATGATACCGACTGTTGGATTTAGAAGTTTCTTTATTACCGACTGTTTGTCTCGCTGTTTTTGAAGGTAATATTGCACTAAATTCAACGTGTTGTTATATGCCATTGATCGCATAAATCTTCTATTTGTTAATATTTATGCAAAGTTTTGTTTGGATAAATGATGTATAAAACAGAATAAAAATCGTATCTTTCAATGCTGTTTATGAAGCGTTTTATTTACTGCACAATGCATACGCGCATGCATGAGAGATTAAGGCTTTCCGTACGTTAAGGTAGAAAAGAAATTAATTAAGAAGAACATTAATATCGTTGAATCGGTGCACTAATGAGTGTGTCTTCAGTTTGTTTTTCATTGTACGATTTTCAAGAGTTTGCAAAATTTTCACAGTGGTATTGATCGAAAGTTGATTAATTTAAAAAGAATGTTATAAATATCTATAAAATTTTTTAAACGCGATTTTAATTCACATTCGTTTAAAGAAACAGTGCAAATTGTAATTGGTTTAATGAAAGGACGGAGTTTGCACGGAGTACCATAGATACGACACAATATCGAGAACATGAGAAAGCGAGAGTGCCATATCGATCCGGTTAGTTTGGAGTCTACCTACCTCAACCTCGCTTATACTTTTACTGTCTGCTTTCATTGTCATAGGTTTCGTCGTTTTTTTTTTATTCGTCCATTAATGTTTTAGGTTACATTCTTTATTCCCATACGTTATTTGCTTTATTCTACTACTTTTGTTTTTCACATTGCTTAGATTTTTCTATATTTTTTTTTAACTTACGTTTCTGCAGATGCTTTCACAGTTTATGCAATGCACACGTTTATCGTGTTGTACACATAATTGAAAAGTTAATCGGAAGTTTGATCGTTGTCTGTGATATTTAATGGAAATCATCACGATGACTTTCCACATCGAGTGTATCAGGAAATATCGAAAATACACGGTGCATAGTTGCGTAATAGTTCTTATTACAGATAATCTGTTGGAAAACAACAGTCAGACAATAGATACATACCATAACGTTGTAACTTTCATTTAATTCACATGTGTATAATTTTCTTCAAGGCGCGTTCATATAATCCGAACACGCAAATCGTAAAAATCTTCTTTACGAACGCATACTATCCTCCTAGAATTTTTATTAAATTTTTACGACGTTGCATCGTGCGATGCATAAGATGTAGCTTTTGTTTTCCGTTATTCGATGCATCTTGCCGATTGAATTATTCTCTCCTTTATATTTCATTACCATGATCCAACTAATACAGTAAATATTATTTATTGATATTCTCTTATTTGCACAAAATCTCCTCTCCGCTTGCTTAAGCAATGAATTTCTTACAGTGCAGCGATCGTTTAACTTTTTATCGTTGAGAAACACGGAAAAACCATATGTAATATGTAACATCACGGTAGAAAATCACGTTCGATGAGGCGAAGTAGAGGGAGTTATCAGTGAGGTAAGAAGTCTCGTTAAAAAGTGTATTGGATGAGCAGGCAGGTTCGGTGAGGTGGGTTTCGGCAGATGAAAACTCCAGTGTCTACGCTGGTGGGCTGTTTTGGGCGGGCGACGGCTGTGCGCAAAAACGGCGGCAGTCAAGTTCAAGGCCATCC